CAGATAGGTTCCCTGTGATTCCAGCATATGCTCCCTTAGAGACACCAGAGTCCACAGAATCATGGCGGAAGAGGGAGGGCTGGTGCCAGGAATCTCCTGTAGTTCGTAGGGGCCCATTGTTAAAAAAGCCATCAGAGGAATTGTGTCGACGACGGCTCACTCCAAATCTACCTTCTCCTCGGGGCAGGTGCTCTCCGTGTTTTTCAAAGGTGGATGTAGGTGACTAAGATGATAAAGTACAGAGAGGCAAATAGGTAAGTACAATCAGTCTCTTTCAAGCGGTAGCGCGCTCGCCTGGCATGCGTGCGGCCTGGGTTCGATCCTCAGCACCACAAACAAAGATGTTGTGTCTGCCAATAACTAAAAGAAATAAATATTTAAAAAATCTCTCTCTCTAAAAAAAAAAAAAAAAATTAATGTAGAGAAGAGCTAGGTTACACAATTATTAACTCACTTCCTTCATCCCAAAAGGGAAAAAAAGATGATGACCTCACTTATTTGCCTGAGGTGGGGGGAGTCATCAATATCCCTAAATAGCCCCCAAATTTTATACTTAAAAATATTAATCTTGCAACAGAGGCTGAGAAAAAGATGCTTGCCTTAAAAATCATTCTGCACAGTTTTATTATTTCTATAAAATTATTCTAGAATTAGAGAAAAAGCAATAGTTCAAATGTTACCTTGGTAATGATGCACAACTACAAAGTTTTATCTGCAAAGATTACTTGAACAATAATAATTTTGCATTAAAACCCATTTTACATGTGAGAAAAGTCAGGGAGATTGTCTTTGAATTTATATAATTCAAAGAAAGCAGTTTCTGACAAACATTATGAATTAACGTATTCATTCATTTTTCAATAAATTTCATTCTGTGGGTTTTTTTTAAGTTGTAAAGGATAGAGTCTGTGATGATCAATCTTTTTTTTAACCTTTATTTAATTTTATATGGTGCTGAGGATCAAACCCAGTGCCTCACACTTGCCAGGCAAGTGCTCTACCACTAAGCCACAACTCCAGCCATGTGGTGGCCAATCTTAGTTATCAACTTATGAAGAGATGCCTAGATCCGTAAATCATACTTCTAGTTGTGTCTGTAAGGATATTTCCAGGCAAGATTGGTGTTTTGGTCAGGGAACTAAGTAGGAAAGACCCACCCTGAATATGGGTCGCACTATTGAATGGGCTGGGGACTTAGAATACAGAAGCAGAATAGGGAAGCTCTCACTCACACTTCTTGCAGGTGTGGTTTTCTGCTAATACTGCTGTTGCTTCTAATTTTGTGGCCTTCTGCTTCTTGGAGCAGCTACCAGTTTTCTTGGCTCTTTAGGAGGCAGATGGCCATTATGGAACTACTGAGCTCCTCAATGTGAGCCAATTAACTTCTTCTAACCATACTTTCTGTTGCTTTTATTTTTCTGAGGAACTCTTGACTAATACACAGACCAGAGGCTATTTAGCCACGAAAAGTATGGGTATGTTTGACAAGGACTTACAGAAAAATTATAGGCAGAAGCACATTCATCTATTTTCTTACTATCAATATCCTTAACAATACTTRATATGTCAGTCTTGTTTACCCATTCCAGTGGGTTACAAAGATCTTTTCCTATGCTTTTTTCCTAAAAGTTTTACTGAGCTAGCATCTTAAACTTAGGTTATGATCCATTTCAAGTTAATTTTTGTGTAGATAGAGGTTGAAGTGTTCTACCTCATCCAATTATTCCAGGACCATTTGTTAAAACAAACAAAAAATCAAGCAAAAACAAAACTTATCACTTCCCTTTTGGATTTTTACCTTGGTAATTAAGTCGAAAGTCAACTGACATTTTATATATACAGGCCTATTTTGAACTCTCTATTCCATTTCATTACTTTTTATGTCTATCCTATGCCCAAACTATATAACTTTACTATTATACCTTTACTGGAAAGGTTGAAATAATATATTTTAATTCTCTCATTTAGTTCATTGTTCTAAAACAATTATTTGCTTTTTAAGCGTTTTCCTGGATCCAACATCCATCCCCCTCAAGGACTTCAGACTAGACCAATTATGAGATTTTGAGGAATTTTAAGAAGACAATTCAAAATGAAGTTCAGAGCATAAGGTTTTTATGTCTAGACGAGAMCAGAAACACCTTCCCAAAAATTTACATTCTTAAAAAATATGGAAAGTGGGCCATTTTAATTTTTATTTGTTCTAATTAGTTATACATGATAGCAGAATGCATTTTGATTCATTGTACAAAATGGAGCACAACTTATCATTTCTCTGTACATGATGTAGAAGTGCACTACATTTAGTCATACGTGGGAAAGCAGGCCATTTTAAAAATACTACTAATTTTTTTCTCCTTTATTAATTGACAAAAATGGGAAGCACTTTTAATTTTACTAGTTTTAGAATGGTTTCCTTTATGAACACCCCAGGATTTCTTCTGTGCTCTGTGAGTTGGTCTGCTTTAATCACATGAACTGGTTKTTCCATTTGTCTTTACCCCCAAATAACACACATTTCCTCCCAAATCATTAAGTAATGCCTCTAAAAAATTTTTCTAGGATTTAATATAAGAACCACTTAGTAGCTGAACAATCAATATCTATGTCCTTTCTTCCTCTTTATCTACTATCATAGTTTAAAGTGCATTCATGCCAAAGTTCTATTTTCCCAAGGATCATTTCCCTTTCAGTGAAATGCCTCTTTGTCAGTCAATAGGTTAGGAGGTATATAATCTATAAAGTGTGCTGCAGCTAATACAGAAAGGCTGAAGGGTGCCATGTAAAAGAAAGGTAATGAGTCTATGAAAACATTTTTTCAATCTTTAGGCAAGGCAGAATATGTATTAAAAAACAATCTATGTTTTACAAATTTTATCCTAATAAAATATTAGGGSGGATTAAAATCTAAAACCAAAAACAACCCAAGTCTGTAAAACAGAGGCCACAGGCCAGGAAGGGAAGAAAAAGTAACTAGTATTTGGGTATTTACTAGAGGGATGGAGATGAGTACCTTAGCTGACTGTGGTGTTGAGAAATTTAGCCAAGCAGGAACAAAGTCATGCTGCGCCATTTAGGTCCAGTGTCTCTTTTCAGCAAGGTGAGGCATCCAACCTCATGGCCAGGATCTGAAAGTGAGACAACTCAAATCACTTATGCTTTTAAGAATCGAATAATCTGTGATTAACCTATGATCCCTCTTCACAGAGTATCTGTCCTGAGATCTATAGATATTTCTAAGGGTCCAAATCTCACAGAAGTTATAAACAAAAGCAATGGTCTGTAAATATGTTGATTATGAAAAAAACATAAACAGAAAAATATGACACAAGTCWAGAAGGTCATGTCAAAGAATCTAATGCATTCTTGAGTTACAAGAGAAGAAGCTGAAGAATAAACACAAAATAGATACTTATGGAAAGAGAACAGTTTGACTCAGTCAGGTACTTGGGTAACTTCTGGCCAAAGGAGTAGAAAAGTGGGCTGGGGATGTGGCTCAAGCGATAGCGCGCTCGCCTGGCATGCGTGCGGCCCGGGTTCGATCCTCAGCACCACATACAAACAAAGATGTTGTGTCCGCCAAAAACTAAAAAATAAATATTAAAATTCTCT